CTGTATATCACTCGTATCACTCTATACATAGATAATTATACGTTAACTCCGAGTGACCCGGTACGGTTCCTTAGATATGTATAAAAGCACTGCCACGCATGCATAACAAATGATACCTGGTTGACCGCGGACGATACATCGTTCTAGGCTTAGATACAAATATCTCGAAAAATGGCCTAAATATCCTTCCGGAATATCTCCAAAAAATCTCTAAATATCTCCATTTTTTTTCTAAATATCCCCAAATTTTTTCTAAATATCTCAGTAATTTCAACGTAATGTCTTTTAAACATATTTATTTTGTGCGAAAAAATCGCAATACAGAATTATATTTAATAAAATTTATAAAAAAAATTTAAATAATATAAATTAAAAAAATTTATACAGAAAAAGACAAACTCATTCTTACAAATCCTTAATATTTGAGAAAATTGTGTTTTATCTTCTAAATATTAAGGAATTTTCTAAATATCCAGATTTTTCTAAATATCCCGAAAACTTCTAAATATCTAAAAAGATATCGGGATATTTGTATCTAAGCCTACATCGTTCTCTACATAGGCCAGCAGTTTCTCGTACGTGTAGGCCTAATTATTTGCAAGTTGAAGACTGAAAGAAAAGTGCCTATAGCACTGCATGCAAGAGTATATCAAAAAATATTTGTATGCGCAACACTAGCAGTGACGAAGAACGCATGCGTTTCGTATAATCAGGGGTTAATAATGGCAAAAATATTCGTCATTAAAAACGGATATAATTATTTAGATTATGGATGCAAAAATTGGTAGCTAAAATGGAGATGCGGGGGATCGAACCCCGGGCCTTTCACATGCAAAGCGAACGCTCTACCACTGAGCTACATCCCCTAACGGTATCATGTAGGAATGCAAGGCGTCTTATAACTCGTTTCAAAATGCATTCACCAACGTCTGGTTTAGCGCATGCGATATTGTAAATTTATATATAATGTCATGGCGAACGAAGCAGATCATCACGTAAAGGGGATTTTGAAACATGTTGATCGAAGTGGTAGTCGTGAATCGTATGTTGTTTTCTACTAGCCTAGTAGCTGATAGGTGGGACTCGTAAGCCTACTGCCTAGTATTTTATTGGTCCCAATAAAACCAATGTGCCTAACCCTAATTCTAACCCTAACCTAACCCGACCAGGCTGTGTGACTAACGTCAATACACCCTAGACTAGAATACTACTATACTAGACTAGACTAGAATACAAGCCTAGTTACGTATTCTAACCCTAGCAATACCGTTTCTTGGAGCTAACCCTAACCTAGCTCCAAGAAACGGCTAGGGTTAGAATACCTAGGTGTATTGACGTTAGTCACACAGCCTGGTCGGGTTAACCCTAACCCTAACCCTAACCATAACCCTAACCTATTATATTGATAATATTATATTTATATTGATGTAAATGACATTGGTTTTATTGGGACCAATGTTCTCTATCCTTGAACCGACATACTCATACTCATAGTCATACTATCAGGAGTAGATAATAGAAGATTCGGTGCAAATACACTTTATGACGTCCAGTATGGCGGCGCAGTATGGGGGCGCCGGTGCAAATACACTTTATGACGTCCAGTATGGCGGCGCAGTATGGGGGCGCCTAACCCTAACCCTAACCCTATTTCTAACCCTAACCCTAACAACTGTTATT